TCTCTTCCCCTGGGTGACCTCCTCACCCCCTCCTCTTCTGAGTACCAGGATCTATTTAGCTGAACACCTCCAGAGAGCCCCACAGGTGTCCCACAGGGACCTCCCTCTTCGTTAAACCCTAAAGTTTAACTCTGGACTCTACCGCTTCCTCCAGAACGCGCTCTTCCCCCAGGGCTCCCTGGCCCTGGAAATGACCCTACTTGCCAGCTGGTGTCCCAGAAGGGCATCAGCCTGGACTTGGGTCACCAAATTCTGTCCCTTGTACCTTCATCTCCATCTTCACCACCTCGGAGTTTCTACTACTCCTGGTCTTCGCCTCTCACACGGCTGAAATGACCACCATTCTCACTCATCTCGGCTTTCTCTCCAATGTGTCTTTTTTTTTCTTACTTTGTCATTAGGCATGTGTACTCACCAGAGAGAGACAGGGAGGGCAAGTGAGAGATCACCCCCCAGGAGGGATGGCCACACCACAGTTCCTTCTCCTTCATTCTCTCGGGATTTTGTGCACATATGCACATGCACTCAGTGAGATTCTCAAGCCACCCAGTCTGGGACTTAAACCACGTTTGGCCATGTGGGAGTCCACCAAGCCACCTGCTGGCTCCCTTCAAATGTGTCTTCTCCATAAATCTGACCTGGCCACTGTTTGCTCGGACCCTTTTATGGCTCCCCATTGCCTCCCCACTGGGCGAAGTCCTCTTCCCAGCTGCCCACAGCCCTCGTGCACCTGCCTCCTGTCCTCCCTTCTTGCCCCTAAGTCCCAGCCAAACAGCTGCCTGTGCTCACCTGGAGCCCACGTGTTCTGTGTGCCTCTTTGCCTCTGCCTGGCGAAAGTAACAATCTCTGCTTCAAATTCAAGGGCAAAACAAATTGCTCTTTGGCTGCAGCAGGATGAAAACTAGTTCTAGTTCATCTCAATCAAGGAATGATAATGTTGCAAACTTCTGAAAACCAGCCGATCAGGGACAGCCCCATATGACTGAAACTGGCGTGAAGGGTGAGGGCCCTTCAGCACCTGAAAACAGCCAGTCCTGTACCCTCACTTCCGAAAGTCGGCCATCCTGAAAGCCGTGCTTCCAGAGATACGCAACAGTCCTACAACACAGCTCTCCTTTGCTTCAACAAGTGAGGAATCCCTGCTTGTCCTCGTGAGGTCCAGGGCCCCCTCTGAACCCCACTAGCAGCGTTAACCTCTGTTTATACAACCCCTTACACTTTTACTCAACGTGGAATCTTTACTATCCAGTGCAGGCAGGGCATGGCAGGAGCCGGGTGGGGTTGGGGGCTTACTGAGCTGCACTGGGAAAGAAGTTGGCTGTTGCTGAAAAAAATATCCGATCCTGGAGGACAAGCTCAGAGATGGCCCTCGTCTGTGCCAGGTGCCATTGTCAACTGCATTTACACCTGTTTCTCTTTCTCTCTCTCTCTTTCTTTCTTTCTTTTTTCTTTTTTTTTTAGGTTTTTGCCATAGAATGTGTGCACTTGCCGGAGAGGAGAGAGACAGAGAAGGACAGAGAGAGGGAAAGTGAAAATCACTCCCGGGGAGGATGGCTATGTCATACTCCCTTCTCCTCCATTCTTCTTTAGGATTTGGGGCATGCACACACACACGCCTGGTCATGCACGTGAGTTTTAAAAGACTATGCAAACAGAGGACTGTATAAAACGTGTACACCAATGTGAAGAACAATGACAAGATTCACACCTGCGTACACTATCACCCAGGTGAAGATAGAACATGGAAAGCATTTTCAAACACCCCTGTCCCCACCCCGTCACGTCTGCCCTCCTCCCTCAGCCAGGTACCCACGTTTCCAACTTTCAGTCCTCTGGCCTCCTTTGCAGTTTCATCAGCTATGTGTGCTTTCCTGTACGCAACCGTGCTTAGCTCTGGACAACTGAGCAATCCACGGAGAAGTAGTTGTACGGGAAGACGGTCCCTAGGATCTATACCAGTTCAAAGTAAAGGTTCTTAGAGGGCTTTGCTTCCAGTCTGGCTTCCACTTCCCTGTGCGTTTGTAGGGGCCCTTTCTGGAGAAACCAGGGAGCAAAAGACACAGGCTTGGCCACAGCTGGGACATTTGCAGGCCCCTGTGAGCACCTGGTTCAAACTATCAACAGGAATATGCTCACGAGGGGAAGAGATGATCTGGACGGTCTCCTGCTGAGCCCACCAAGGCCTCCTGCAGCTCTCAGGAGCAGGTACAGAGGAACGCAATTATGGGGGGGGAAATGTGTGGCTTCTGCAATTCCAGGCATCGAGAGATGGAAAGAAAAGCAGGAATCGGGGAGCACATGGAGAAAGCAAGTTCAGGAAAGAATGTGGACCAGGCTCCCTGGCATTCTGTCTTGGCAATGACATTTGCTCTGTCCCATGTCCCTCGGCATCAGCTCATCCTCCCTCACCATCCTCTCGAAGGACTCTCTTTGCCCTCTCTTCCCAGACAGCCATCTTGGATCCCGCACTTACACCCTCATCTTCCTCCCTCCTGGTTTATTTTCTCATTGTGGTGAAACATTGATCTAAAATGTCTCTTTTGAGAGACTCTCATTAGGCAGCTCATACCTTCTTGATAATTTGGCTGTGGGTAAAATTTTAGGATGGAGGTAATCTTCCCTCCTTCTTTTTTACTTTGAATGTTGCTGTTGAGAAGTCTGAAGGCATTTTCTACCTTTTCCATTTGCTTATTGTTCTCTTTAAAAGCAGGTAAAATTCTGTTGCCTCCAGTGTTCTGAAATTTTACAGTGTGCCTCGGCGTGGGTCTACTTCCTTTTATTGTCGGTTGCTTGATACATCCTTTCATCTGAGCAACTCATGCCCTTTGGGCTTGGAAATGTGTCTTCACTTATTTCTTTGATAGTTATTACTTCCCATGTTCTCTGTCCTTTCTGAAATACCTAATCAAGTAATAGGCCTCCTAAATTAGAAATATAACTGTTTTCTGGGAACCAGCAGTTACCATGATGGCTATGTCGCTGGACTCCCACATAGTCGACTGTGGTTCGCATCCCTTACCAGGTGGCTTAAACTCACACCGGGCGCGTGTGCGTGCGTGCCCAAGATCCCAAGAGGAGAATGGGGAGAAGGGATTGCAGCGTGACCATCCCCCCTGGGGGGTGATTTCTCGCTTTCTGTCTCTCTGTCTCTCTCTGTCTGGTGAGCGCACGCGCCCTATAGCAAAAACCTCTCAAAAACAAAAAAAAAAGAAATATAACTGTTTTATCTATCCTTTGTTTACCATCGCTTCATTACTTTAATCCACTTTCTCAGATTTCCTTGATTATCTTCCTATCATTCTACTTGGTTTTTCATTTCTGCTCTCATGTTGTTTCCAATAGCTTTCTAGTCTCCAAATTACATTTTTCTTATATAATATTCATATACATATTTATATGTATAGTGAATAATTCTCGTGTGTGTGGTATTCCATGGATCTCGTGTCTTCTATCCAATGTCTCTATGAAGATATGGCTGGTTATTTTCCCTCCTTACTCTTCCCGCATGGTTTTTGCTTTCTCTTAGTTGTTTTTCCGTGGTTGTCTATGTGTTTCTGTCCCTCTCTCTCACTTAGGGGCTTTCCTTAGATTCTTAGGACTCCTTAGCTGACTGTTCATGATAGAGTTGGTAGAGCCTGGCCTGGAGTCCCCATGCTCTGTCCCCTTCTGCCTGCGGGAAGCAATTTTGGAAGCTCTGTGCTGCAGATGAGGCAGCCTGGCTCTCAAATGTCTGTCTGGAGGACCACTGCCACTGGCAGCTTGAGCTTCTGGCTAAGATAGAGACAGAGACGGAATTTACCCTCTTACTTGAAACAACTAAGCAACTGGTCAAAATAAATGAAATATTGGTTCCCAAGATATCGGATATCGGGCGGTGAAGGACCTTGAATCCAGGCACTGTACACCTGCTCTAAAACACAGGACTTAAGAGTAAACAAATATACAACTATCGAATAAATGTGTAATATATCAATGTAGACTGTCCAAGCTTCCTCCACCCCCTCGAGTTGCAGTCTCTCCACTTGAAATGCTCTCCCTTCATAGGCACAATCTCACCAGCCCTTGGAGGCTTTCCCAGGTCATCCTCACCAGGCGGGCTCATCCTGTCCCTTCTCTGAAACCCAAGCACATTGCTCGTGCCTCTGCTTGGCCCTACAGCTCAGCTCAAGCTGCATACTTAGCTCACTCCTGTTTCCCACGCTGTCTCCAGGACACTGCCCTACTCACTGGCCAAATCCCTAACATGTAGGCTACGCTCAATTTGCTCAGTGGATTTACTAAAATGTCGCGGGATGGGAAGGGAAGAAATGGGACAGGTACCCAAATACCTCTAATACAGAAAAGGTGCACGTAAAGTTAGTCTTTGGGATGCAGCCAAAAGACAAGGCTGGGGTGCGGGTGCCTCCTGGGTCATCCGGAAAAGCCTCTGCGGGGACAACACTGGGCCGGCCCTGCACACCGGGGGCCCCCGTCTGACGCTCTCCCCCTGAGCCCCCCGGAGTGAGGAAGTGGCTAGGTGGTGCCAAGATTCCGACAGCACAGACTCGACGCCTCCCGGCGCCAAGCACCGCCGCCTTGCCTAAGCCCGAAATGACACGAAGCAGCAGAATCTCGTGCAGATGAAACCGGATCGTGCTCAGCTTCCGTCAGACCGGGCTCCGGCTTGTGTACATGCCTCTGCCCGCGTGGGGTTCGGGCTGGAGTCGGGTCCCTTTCTGCAGCCGGGCCACTAGCGCCCCAACTCCAGCGAGCTCAGCCTCGGGCTGGCTCTGCGCTGCCGCCACGCCGAGCGCGGAAGGCCGCGGCGCAGTTGCCTGGGAAACGTCCACGCGCCGGCGCAGGGCTTCCCGGGGGCTGCAGTCCACCCGCCGCCCGGCCGCCTCCCCGCGGC